TCTTCCTTTGAAAAGGTCTCACTCTGTAGCTCAGGCTGGTCTGGAACTTTCTAGGTAGCCCAGGCTGGTCCTGAACTAGCGGTGATGGTCTTCCTTTGGACTCCTGATGTAGACAGCAGCCGCCATGCCCGCACAGACCTTCCACCTTCCTTTTTAAAGTTTGTGTGTTTCGTTCAGTGCGCTTTTCCAAAACATTTTACTTTTCTGTTTATCCAAAACACTCGTGTCCTTACTTGTTTCCCGTTTGCCCTCCTGAGTCTGGCACACAGTAGATACTCAGTGAATGTTTGCTGAATGAATAAATGAACAAAAAAGGAGACAGTTGGGCAAGCGCCTCCTAGTGGCTGCTAAGACAGCACAACCAGGCAATTGCCCACTCTCCTCCTGCCCTGGCCCTGCTGGGTCTCGGGTGGGACAGTGTGCTTCCCTGGGGAATCGCAGTGAAAGGAACGCTGATGTTTGGAGGGTCCCTGGAGTGGGAGGCCGAGGGGGAGATGTGCCACTTTCCAGGTAGAAGTAGAAGGGGTGGGTTTTTCAAGTGTCCTGAGCGGCTTGGGGCTGGAGACAGAGAGGGTGTGTCCCAGGCTCTGCGTATCTTCTTTACTCCTTATACTGCAGCTCAGCACACAGTATTTTTTATCCTTCGGTTGGTGTCAGGGGTCTCACTACGTAGCCCCGTAGACTAAGCTGTTGGTCCTCCTGCTTCTGCCTCCCGAGTGAGTGTTTTACCCACTGAGTCATCTTTCTGTCTCTGTGGGCACTGCCCAGCAGGACTGATGCTTTCTAAGAAGTGTGAATTCTCCCCGCTCCCTGAATCACTGGGGTAAACCTGCGGGAGCACATGGTGAGGCGGTGACCGTGAGGCGTGGAGGGCATCTGGCAGAGCTTGGCTGTGTGGGGCAGTGGTGGCGCGCGCCTTTGGTCCCACCATTTAGGAGGCAGAGGCAGGCGGATCTCTGTGAGTTTGAGGCCAGCCTGGTCTACAGAGAGAGTGTCAGGACAGCCTCCAAAGCTACACAGAGAAGCCTTTCCCAAGTGCTGGCACTAAAGGCGTGCACCACCACCACCCAGCCTGGTTATATGTTGTGGTAACCTGCTCAGAAGGTAACAGGATCTCCAGTCTGGCTTTTTCCACATGCTTCTCCTAAATTCATGGTAACCAGGGACCTAGGCCCAGACGAAGCAGGGTTAGAGCCCATCCCCTCTTCTAGGCGTTTCTTGTCCTGCTCTGAACTCCGGGTTCTCACAGATACTTTACCCTCTCACGCTCCTCCCAGCCTGGCCTCAGATCCCATCTCTTGCCCCACAATCGTGCTTCTAAAGCACAGAACACGGTAAATCTTTAAAAAAAATAAACGAGGTTAGCCTCAGGACCACTGTGTACTGTTGATCAGGTTGTGCAACACACAAGCATCACTGCAATGCTCTTGGACTTCACCCTAGAGGTAACAGGGAGACATCAAAAGCCTTTCCCACCAGGAGTAATTGCTGCATGTGTGCCTGGTGCCTATGGGGCCAGCAGAGGGTGTCTGATGCTCTGGTCGGGTTATTCATGGTTGTAAACTGCCAACTTGGGCCTTCTGTAAGAATCGCCAGTGCTCTTAACTGTTAAGCCATTCTTTAAAAGGGGGAAACCATTCCCTCAGGTTTTTTGACCAGGCACTGGAGGTCCTAGTGACCCTGGGCCTCTTTCATCTGCTCCTTGGGGAGCTGTATATGTAGCCACATTGAATGTAACACAGTTTTTCAGGCCCCCGGGGTTCATACCCACATTTGTTTACCTGCCTGAGAATGCTGGAGACGTAAGACTGGAAAGGACCAGAAATTCAGTTTCCCTGCCATTTGTTGGGCAAGTGATTTCCAAGTCTCAGTTTCCTAATCTGAAGAATGGGATTAAACATAAAACTCAGTCCTCAGCTAGGTGGTGATGGCACATGCCTTTAATCCCAGCACTTGGGAGGCAGAGGCAGGAGGATCTCTGTGAGTTCAAGGTCAGCATGGTCTACAGAGTGAGTTCCAGGCCAAAGCCACAGAGAAACCCTGTCTCAAAAACAAAACAAAACAAAACAAAAAAACCCAACCAAAAACAGCAACAACAAGAACAACAAAAAGCCCCAATGGGGCTGGAGAGATGGCTCAGTGGTTAAGAGCACTGACTGCTCTTTCAGAGGTCCTGAGTTCAATTCCCAGCACCCACATGGCAGCTCACACCTGCCTGTAACTCCAGTGCTAGAGGATCTGACACCCATGGCAAAGCACCAATGCATACAAAATAAAAATTAATAAATTAAAAAAATATAAAAAAAACCCAAAACACAAACTCAGTCCTCACTGCAATGAACACACAGCCCTTCCAGTAAAAGGTGGTGGCGGCACGCAGCACTCCAGTGGCAGAGGCAGGTGGATCTCTATGAGTTCAAGGTCAGACTGGTCAACAGAGTTCCAGGACAGGCGGAGCTCCACAGAGAAAACCTATCCTGAAAAAAAAAAAACCCAACCCAAAACCCAAAAACAAACCTATCTTGAACAAAACAAAACAAAACAAAACAACAAAAACCAACCAATCAACCTAAAAAAAAAAAAAAAGACCTAAACAAAAAACGTGGTTTCTCAGAGCTGGGTGTGGTGACTCATGCCTTTAAGCATCCCAGCATGAAGGTTGAGGCAGGAAGAGTTCCATGAGTTTCAGACCATCCTGGGCAATAGAGTGAGGCCTTACCTCCAAACGAAATGAAAATTAAACAACAGAGCTGGGGAGATGGCTTAGTGGGTAAAGCCCCCACTATGCAACACTGAAGACTAGAATTTGGATCCCCAGGACCCACATAAAGCCAGATGCAGTGGTACTCATCCGAATTCCCCTGCATGCCTGTGGGGGAGATGGCAGGCAAAGGCAGAAATCTCTGGAAGCTCTCGGACAGCTAGCCTGGTGTACATAACCGTGTCTCAGACAGGGTAGAAGGTGAGGACGGGCATCTGAGATTGTCCTCTGACCTCCACATATACACTGTGGCATGCATGTGTACCTATGCACGCCCCCCCCACACATTAAAAACAACAAAAACCCACAAAAAATCTGCTACCGTGGGGGCTGGAGAGACGACTCAGTAGTTAAGAGCACTGGTTGCTCTTCAAGAGGACCTGGGTTCAATTCCCAGCACTACACGGTGGCTCACAGCTGTCTAACTCCAGGGGAGTTCCAGCACCCCCTTCTGGCCTCAGTGGGCAATGCATGCAGTGTGTGTGTTCATGTGTGTCACTCTGCCTGTAGGGTTCCCTTCTCTGCTCAGGACTCAGGAAAGAGCTCTGAATGTCTAGGACCAGCTACTGTGCAAAGAGACTTTATTTTGCATGAAGCACCCAGGGAGGTGTGGAGGACTCTCCCCACTAAGCCTAGAATTGGGCTCTAACTAGAACCCCACGGGTGGAACAGAGCCTGATTTCCATCAGGCTAGGAGGGAGGTCATAGTCTGTACTGTTAGCCTAGCATCCCGCCATCCCCAGTCTGATTTGCTTTTCCTGAGTTGAAATCATAATTCCTCAGGTCTGACCTTGGCCAAGGACAATGGCGTTCTGTATATGCTGATGGTAGGAAGGGCACACACTTGCTCCACATTGAGTTACAGTGGGCTTCTTCTGTGATTTTCCCCTTGCATGCCATGGGGCAGGACTTCACCTGCCCAACAAATGGCAGGTGGGCTGGACAAAGAGCAACAGCTTTTGCAGGGCTGGCTGGGTGTGGGAGGGAAAGGGCCAACTTTTCCAACCAGCTCACAAAGCTGCCTCTTTGTATTCTTGACTCTCTGCTGCCCCCTTGTGGTTGTAAGACTGGTGAAGCCACATAGTTAAAGGTGTGGTGGGTGGTGGTGGTTTTTGTGTGTGTGTTGTGTGTGTGTGTGTGTGTGTGTGTGTAAGAATGGGGTAGAGAGATGCACTTGTATCTGTGCTATAGCAACAGGGTCTCTCTTCCTCATTCACCAGATGTGGGTTATGAGAGCAATGCCAGGCAGCTGTGATACCTGCTCTGTGGCACTTGCTTATCAAGAAATTGGAAGCAAAGAGGGGGTGTGATATTCATTTGCAATGTATCGGGAATGGGGGATTGGACATTAGGGATGTGAGCACTGCCGAGTCTTTTCTGATCATGGGAACAAACAAGGGTCCCACAACCACAGCCAAGCTAGCCTTTAGAATCCTGGGCTAACATCACACAGCATAGTCGAAAAAGCTAGACCAGAGTCCAGGCTTGATACTGCAAAGACCAGGGATCTTTCTAGTATGTGCTTGTGAAAAAGATCTTAAGACCTTGGCAAATTATAACTAAAATCAGAGGAATCCAGAAAGTGCTACCAGGCGGCCAGGAGTTGATCAGACTGCAACAACTTGATCTCAAGATGTGAGAACGTCTAGAACGCTGCGTTAGAGGAGGCCACGCCAACAGAATCTTGATTACAAAGTGGGAGAAGCAAGGGCTATGGAAGGAAGCTCACACCTGTTCTGTGCTCAGATTTGGCTCTGACAGCTTTCCAATAGGCTGCATCTGAAGGGTCCCCCAAAGCAAGCTCAAGTGGGTTGAGTTACGGGGTACATGCACCATGGTGGCCAGGCCTGCTCTGGCTGAGGCCCTTGACCTGTCTCCTCTCCATCGTAGATTTTGGACCTTCTAGTCCATTTGAAACCCTCTTTCCGCAGCAGCTCTTCTCGGAGCCATCCCCAGGCTTGAGTTGGAGTGTGGGTTCTGCAAGTGAAGGTTTTGATACTCACTGGGTGAGATCTGTGAAAACTTTTTATTTTGTTTATTTATTATGTATACAGTCTTCTGCCTGTGTTTCAGCACAAGGCACCAGATCTCATTCAAGGCGGTTGTGAGCTACCATGTGGTTGCTGGGAATTGAACTTGAACTCAGGACCTCTGGAAGAACAGTCAGTGCTCTTAACCGCTGAGCCATCTCTCCAGCCCGATCTGTGAAAACTTTAAAGGCCTCCTCTCTCTCTCTCTCTCTCTCTCTCTCTCTCTCTCTCTCTCTCTCTCTCTCTCTCTCTCTCTCTCTCTGTCTGCTTCTTTCTCTCAACAGGGTCTCATGCAGCTTAGACTCACCTAAATTCCTTGTGGAGCTAAGAATGACCCTGAACTTTTGATCTTCCTGCCTCTCAGTGCTGGGATTATAAGCATTCACCTGTGCCTGGTGGGTGATGCTGGTGATCAAGCCCAGCCTTCATTCATGTCAGGCAAACACTCTACCAACCGAGTTGCATTCTCAGCCCCCAAACCTTCCAATCCCTTGAAAAGAAAAGAACCCTAGGCCGGTGGCTCCTCAGCAAATATAGGGAAGGAACAGGTGTGAGGGAAACTGGACCTGTCCCCACACTGCATGCGTCATCACAGCTTCCAGCCAAGCAACTTAACGGGTTCTGACCTGGCATCTGCCGTTTGCCACAAGGTAGGGGTCCTAGGTCTCTGGCTCAACCTGCCATGTAGATTGAAGCTAATAAAGCCAGGTGATGTTTACTCAGGAAGTCTTGGGCGTGAGTGCTTCAGCAGCATGGAGAAACACACTAAAGAGTCCCAGCTGAGCCTCCAAGGAACGACCTTCTTGTGGATGGTCTCTTTCTGTAACTGAAGAGCCTGAGGTCCAAGATCTGGGTAAAGGTTACTGTTCAATGTTACAGCAGGTCCAAATGTTTCAACTTGATCAATCCTCAGGTCCGGCAGTCAGGTCTGTCAATGTGACCATAGCTCCATGTCTAGGGCAAGCCTCTTGAGATGTGAGGGAAGGTACGCAGGCAACTCCCATCTCCTATACCCGGTCTGTGTCCTGGAGCAGGGCAGTCACCAGGCTAATGACCTGAGAAGTCGGCTGGTCTGCATCGTATTCTGCGAAGAGGTGGCACACGTTCTCTGGTGGCTCTGTCTGGTTCTTGGCCACAAACCCAAAGACCCTGGTGAGAGAAGACAGTCTGTGGGCATGCGGGCTAGAGAGGCATCACACTGAGGGGAGGATACTCAGCCTGAGCCTAACTGCCTCTCCCCAAGCCAGCTGACTTCAGGGTCGTGTGTGCGTGTGCGTGTGCGTGTGTGTGTGTGCGTGTGCGTGTGTGTGTGCGTGTGTGTGTGTGTGCGTGTGCGTGTGTGTGTGTGTGTGCGTGTGCGTGTGTGTGCGTGTGCGTGTGTGTGTGTGTGCGTGTGCGTGTGTGTGTGTGTGTGTGTGTGTGTGTGTGTGAGATACACCTGTTTGTGTGGACATGGCACATGTCCACACGTGTTCCGAGGCTGATGTTGGCATCTTCCTCAATTGATCTCTACTAATTTTGAGACAGGGTTTCTCGCTGAACCTAGAGCTCACCAATTGGCTAGGCTGGCCAGCTAATGAGCACCAGGTATCCACTTGTTTCTGCCTCCCTAGCACTGGAGTATTAGACTCGCTGTCTGCCGTTTTACACGACCTCATGACCTCACGCTTGAGTGACAGGCACTTTCCCCACTGAGTCACCTCCCCAGCACTTCCAGCATCTCCTTAGAATGGGGCAGCTAAGGGAAGAAGGTGCCTCCCCTGTCAGAGAGGGCGATCATTTATTTTAGGCTCTGGGTCTCCATTTTGAATGGGGCTTCCTGAGGATAAGACTTGGAAACTCCATTAGAGCAAGGATGTATTTGACTGTCTTCTCTATAGCTTTGAGGTACAGCCTGTGCCTCTGGCATGACACCTGGGGCTCCAGACTGGGGATCTCTTCAGAGCCGTACCACACTGGCTCCTAAGACCAAGATGGAAACCCCCTTCCTTCCTTCCTTCCTTCCTTCCTTCCTTCCTTCCTCCCTTCCTTCCTCCCTCCCTCCCTCCCTTCCCTCTTCCCTTTATTTCTAATGAGATAGGGTGCTGTGGAATAATCCTTGTACTCTGTAAAGATGTGTTGTTCTCATTGGTTAATAAAAAGACAACTGGCCAATAGCTAGGCAGGAAGGTTAGGGAGGAGAGCCAGGCTGGGAGAATGCTGGGAAGAAGAAGGTTGGAGTCATTAGACAGAGCAGAGGGAGCAGGAAGAGTAGAAAATGAGGTAACATGCCATGAGCCACATGGCAGCATGAGAATTAATAAATATGGGCTAATTTAAGTTTTAAGAGTTAGTTAGTAACAAGCCTAAGCTATCAGCCAAGCATTTGTAATTAATATGTCTCTGTATGGTTATTTGGGAGCTGGCTAGCGGGACATAGACCTCTGCCTACAATAGGGTCTCACTATGTAGCCCTGTCTAACTATTCTGTAACTGGCTATGTAGACAAGGCTAGCCTGGACCTAACTACATAGACCGAACTGGTCTTGAACTCACAGTAATCCTCCTGCCTCTGCCTCCTAAATTCTGGGATTACAGGTGTATGTTACCATGCCTGGCCCGCCCTCCTTCTGTTAGGTCTGGGGCCCAGGCACAAGGCCACCATTTAGAGCCACTGAATAGTAGGAGGGGCTTACCTGGAAGCCTTGCAGTACTTTTGCCACCTGAAAGAAAGGGACACAACAGGAGTGAGTGATGGGGCTCCGCCCTGCTCCTCAGGACTGTGATGAACCGTGGGAGCCTGCACCTCCACCTCTGACATGCCCCACCTGACCCCGACCTCTTAGGGTTCATAGGCTGTCTCTGCTATTTCCCTGAGTCAGCAGATGCCATGGAAGGTAGCCAGGCCTGGAATGGCCTTCTTAGCTTGGCTCAGCCTTGAACTTACTTCCGTTGCTCAGGGTCCATTCCACAGAAGCGGAGGGTGGTGAGTGGATAGTGGCGTCGGAAAAACACCCTGGGTGGTTGCGGGAAGAAAAGACAGCTGGTGAGGGCCTGCTCCTGTGCTATGCCCCCATTTCAGCATTTCTGGTCCCACCAGGCTCACACATCCCATCCTAGTAGGATTCTGATAACCTGCCATGCTTTCTTTCTCGCTACTGGGACTGGGCACAGAGGCTGCATCTTTCTCTGCCCATGGAATACATCTGCCTTATGCTCTTATATTGGAGTCTTCTGCCACCGACCCCCATGCCATTCACTTTCTGAGGCCAGGAGTTACAGCTTGGACTACTCTTGCTCTCCTGGTTAAATTAGGGAAGATTTTGGCTAGATTGAGTCCTTAAGTCCTGGGGTGAGCTCATTTCACTCTGTCTGAGGAGTCATTCGTGTCTGGCCTACGCACACAGGCTTAATCAGAACCCAACTGCCTAACTTCATTTCTGTTGGTTTCAATGAGGGAGGCCTAGGGGAGGCAGGGACCTTGTCTGGTACCACGCAGGATTTGCCAGCCCTTTCAGAACCAGGGCCCTGACCTCTGTCCCCAACCTTCCCTCCAGCTCTGCTCTGTTAGCCTTGAAGCCCAGGAGCTAGGAGAGGCCCTTACTTTCTCTGGACATCTGTCAGAGTGATGCCCTGTTCAGTGACTTTGAAATGGACCATAGTAGGTGTGGGGAGGACATCCCTCTCCAACGTGATTGAGATGGCCTTCTGCACAGCCAGGGCTCCGCTCAGGGTCTCCATGCTCACAGAGCTCAGGTACAGCGAGTGGCAACCTGTGGGAGGCAGATAGTGAGCTGGGTCTGTAGCCAGGGGCTCACCATGTGTGTGTATCAGTGGGCTTGAGTCCTCCCCATGCCCAGGGACAGGAACGGGGCAGAGGGAATGCCTTTCTTCTTCAGGAATCCAGTGGGATCCTCTTAGAGCCACCAAAACTGCTCTTCTCTACCTATGCCCCCCCCCTCGCCTGTGAGAATAGACGAGAAAGAAAGAACAGCAGGAGGGGAGAGGCTGTGCTTTGGGGGAGGGGGCACAAAATAGGAGCTGTCACTGAGTGCTAATGGATGCTTGGTCCCTAGAAGTGGGGAGCATTGAGTTGAAACCCTTAGGATTCAGATCTCATCCCCCACAGAGGATCCAGACCTGGAGACCACCCCCAGGGCAGGAATCCCAAACACAGAGAGACCCTGTTACAGATATGTGTACAATATGTGCAATGGTGTCGGCTTACCAGAACCTCCCGCCTCCCTCCCCATGCCCAGTCCTCTCCCTCCCCACTGGCCCACAGTGGCAGCCTCTCATCTCCTGGTTTATGAGGCGGAGGAGGGGGTGTGCAGTGGGCTGTTAAGGCTGCAGAAACAAAGGGGTAATGGGAAGCATGTGTGGGCTTGTGTGAGTCTGTGTGTGTGTGCGCGCGCGCGCGTGAGAGAGAGAGAGAGAGACAGAGAGTGTGTGTGTGTATGAGAGAGAGACAGTGTGTGTGAGAGAGACAGAGAGAGAGAGAAAGACAGCGAGAGACAGAGAGACAGAGAGTGTGTGTGTGTGTGTGAGAGAGAGCGAGAGAGAGCGAGAGAGAGAGAGAGAGAGAGAGAGAGAGAGAGAGAGAGAGAGAGAGAGAGAGAGAGAGAGAGAGAGAGAGAGAGAGAGTGTGTTCACAGGGCTGGGAGGTGGTCTGGTACCTCCCCTATACCACTCACCAGCTGACATCTTCAGGCAAGAGGCCTGGCCATGTGTGGGAGAGTCTGAGGCTGGTTCTGCACCTCCTAGTTCTGAACAGAGGCAAAGGAAAAACGCCACAGGGGAGAGGGTGGAGTGAGTGGACCCCTCTCAGGGGAGTGGCCCTCAAGAATCCCTTTGAACACCTCCCACAGCCCCCCCCTTCCCCCCCCTCCAGGAAGTGACAGCTGGGAAGCCAGGTGTGATTGCCTCAATTAGGGAAATGAGGACCACTTTGCCTAGCTTGCAAGCCTTCTGATCCCTTCCTACCTCTACCCTCCCCCTCCCAGGTCTGGGCAGGCTGTCGGGACCTTGTTCTCACAAGCCCCAGACCTCTTCTTTCGGATCCCGCCTCCCAGCCCAAGTTCCCCTCTGCAGAGCAGGGATGCTGTGCCTGCATCCATCGCTTGTTTAGGGCTCTTCCTGCCTCCTCCCTCTTCACTCCTGCACGACTGAGATGCTCCCTTTGGTCTGGGAGCTCTGGGGCTGCAGGCTGCGGATGAGGCTGCTGACCTGAGCTTGGGGTTGACTCTGTGGGCCTGTGGACCAACTACTTAAGCCTGAAACCTCATTTATTTTCCCTCCTTCCTTCTTTCCCTTTCTGCCTTCTCTTTATCAGTCTAATTCCATAGTGCTGACTGGACTGGAGCTCACTATGCAGCCTCAAGCTCCTGGCCACCTTGCCTCAGCCTCTTAAGTGTTGGAGTTATAGGCAAAGGCCTCGACTTCATTACTTACCTATGAAATGGGGCTGTAGGCCAGAGCTTTGAGGGTGGTGTGGTATGTGTAGGGGGAATAACATCAGACCTGTTCATCCAAACTGTTGGATTTTGGCTCTTCAATCTTTTCAAAGGCTGCTGACTCTCTAAACCAGTGGTTCTCAACCTTCCTAACGCTGTGACCCTTTAATGCAGCTCCTCATGGTGTGGTGACCCCCAGCCACAAAATTATTGTCATTGCTACCTCATAACTGTAGTTTTGCTACTGTTATGAAGTGTAGTGAAAATATCTGATGTGCGACCCCTGTGAAAGGTTCATTTGACACCACCGAGGGGTTGTGACCCACAGGTTGAGATCTGCTGCTCTAAGGTCTATTCTGGGCTGGGCACTGTGCTGCAAGCCCTGTCTAAACAATCTGGTTGAATCTGGGCACTGACACTTTGGGTATGTCTAAAGATGGCTGTTCTTATTGGTGTGTATGGGGCGGGGGCACTGGGGCTCAGGGGAGTAGACATCCTTAAATTCTTACAGGTGGGAAATGGAGAGATGTGGACCCAGTCTAGAGCAGACACTTGTCAGACTGGCCCTAAAATAACTCATAAACAAGGTTGAAGTGGCCACTTTTGGTGAAAGCCAATGGGTCTGACCCAGCCACCTACCTTTCTGTGGGATGGTGAGTTTGCAGGGCAGGGCCAGGGCCATGATGGAGTGCTGGCACACGAAGGCGGAGAGGCTCCCTGCAAAGGAGCAGGAAGCCCTGAGTACGGAGGGCCTTCCCGGGCCCCTTTGAGGTACAGGAGACCATGCCCCAGAGGCCTGGAGGCTGGGAGGCCTGGAGGCTGGGGGGGCTGGGGGAGCCTGGAGGCTGGGGAGGCCTGGAGGATTGGGGGCTGGAGAGGCTGGGGAGGCCTGGAGGCTGGGGGGGGGCCTGGAGGCTGGGGAGGCCTGGAGGCTGGGGAGGCCTGGAGGATTGGGGGCTGGAGAGGCTGGGGAGGCCTGGAGGCTGGGGGGGGGCCTGGAGGCTGGGGAGGCCTGGAGGCTGGGGAGGCCTGGAGGATTGGGGGGCTGGGGAGGCCTGGAGGCTGGGAGGCCTGGAGGATTGGGGGTTGGGGAGGCTGGGGAGGGAGGCTTACCAAAGTAGGGCTCTTCGTCGGCTCCTTTCAGATGCACCCCTTTGGCTGAAGACTCAACCAAGAAGTGACGTATAAGGTCGGTGCTGTCCTCACCTAGACAAAGAAGGAAGAAGGAGTTCCATTTAAGAGCCCCGTGTTAGCCAAAGCCTGGCCAGCATGATCCTACCCACGTCTTCCAGGTCCATTCCGAGGCTTGCATGCTAGCCTCTGCCTCCCTGCATTCATGGGCTCCTATGGCAGTGCATTCCCTCAGATGAGTGTCTGTTTCGAAGTTCCCCACCCCATCCTAGGTGCCATTATTTCCCATCAGCTCATCCCTGCAGGAGCAAGGCTGGATCTGACAGTCAGCAGAGTGCCCTCTGACCCCTCTGACCACAGCTTGCTCCTCCATTCCGGCTCATGGCCTCTTGAAAGGAAGGCTTCCTTGAAAACCAACACCAGCCCCAGAGGTCATTGATTCACCCCCCCTCCACACTCCCCACCCCATGCTGAGGCTGTAATCCACATTAGGCAATCCCTCTACCACTAAGCCAAGCTCCCCAAACCCTTGCTAAGAACACAAGGTTGGGTGGTCCATTCTCATTCCATGTCTTAATTTCTCGGGGGCCATTCACTTGCTGAGACTCATTTACACTTGGGCTTAAGTGAGGGGATGATTACCCTGGGACCTTGTAGTTCTGTTATTATATGTTCTCATCTGTCTCCCCAGTGAGGTGGTTTCTGCATGTGAGTGAGTCCTCTACATGCCTGGCTCCTTACACAGGGCCTGGTACATGGTAGACCCCTCAGAGGTATGTGTGTGTTGAGTTACCAGATAAGCGTGGGAGATCATAAGAGAACAAATATGCTATCATACACACGTGATTAGCAATTACACATGTGATAAGCTCTCTGACACAGGATGAGTTGTTTTTTTTTTTCTTCTTTTCAAGATAGGATTTCTGTGTAGCCCTGGCTGTCCTAGAACTCGCTCTGTAGACCAGGCTGACCTTGAATTCACAGAGATCTGCCTGCCTCTCTTCCGAGTGCTGGGACTAAAGGCCACCACCCAGCAGGATGAGCTATGGAATACATGACAAGTTATTTCAGGAATAATAAAATATTGGGAGTGTGATAAGCCCACACATGCAGCAGCCTAGGGGACCTCCTCCCTCCTCTACCCTTCTTTAAGGGTCGAACAGGGAATCTGGGGGGGCAGGCAGGGCATTTCAGGCTTTCAGGGTGTTCCTGGGGGGGGGGGGGCTAGGTGCTAGAGGGTGGCTGGGAGAGCCAGAAGAAGAGTCAGCCTGAAAGTCACTGTCAAGCTGGGGCAGAGTCCACCACAGTGAGGGCTCTGGGGTGACACACCTGGTCGGTTTGGGGCAGATGCTGATGTCTCCTGTACTTTCAGGGCAAGGCCGAAGGAGCCTCTGTAGGAGGAGCTGTCCCTGATGACGAAAGCGCCTGGCTTCTCCTTCCTCAGCAAATCGATTGCTGGAAGAGTCTTTGGTTAGAGGCCAATCCACTCTACATGACACTCTATTCCCATCTCCACAGGGTCCTCACAGAGAGGTCACACAACCTTCTGTCCCCGGGAAGTCCTTTCCTCCTGTCTACTTCCTGCAGGGTTTGCTACTTCCTGTTTCCTAATGAGGCCAGCGGGTCACCCACCCTTCCACAGGCTGCCATTTGCCATCATCATTATCACTGTGACCCAGGGCCCCATTTGCCTGCTGCATAATACAGGCCAGACATGATTACTCGGTCACTTGTCCCCTAAGATACAGGGCTGGTTTTACCTTGCTCTCGACTGATGCTTGGTTTAAACCAGTATTTCGATGTGTCCATCACGAACTTCATGGTGGGCTGTATGTCCTTGGCAGGACCTGGAGACAGGCAGAGAAGGGACACTCTGTAAGCTGGATAGAGGGTGACTGAGAGACAACCAGAGAGAATGCCAGAGACCTGTCCTATACTCCTCTTCCCAGGGATCCTATTCCACTCATCATTTCTGAGCCCATGTCCAGGGTCTTTCCAAATAGACCAGAAACAGCTCCAAGTACCAGAGCTGTAGCTCAGTGGGTACAGTGCTTGCCTAGCACGCATGAGACCCTGGGTTTGATCCTTAACACAACATAAAACCAGGAGTGGTGGTTTGTGGCTGTGATCCCAGCAGTTAGGGATTGCACTGGGGCAGGAGGATTGCATTGAGGACAAAGCCAGTTTGGCTCCAGACTCAGACCCTATCACAAAAGCTGGAAACAGTGTTGGCTCAGGGGTGATAGCTCTTGGCATGCAGGCCTGAGTGTGATCCCCTGAACCCATGTAAAGGTGAAAAGAGACGACCCACTTAAAAGAGTTGTTTTTTGGCCTTCACATGTGATCTGTGGCATGTGGGCCACACCCAGTAATAATGTTTGTTGTTGTTGTTTTAAAGGCATAGCTGAGGCGCCATTTTTCCCTGTTTGGGTTGCTTCCAGTGGAGTGAGTCTTGGACTATAGTGAATAACTTATAGATACAGGAGTCATCCTGTGAACCCCTGAGGAGGAGCCAGGCTCTGCCAGCAGATGGCTAAGGGAGGAGAGTCTGGGGCTGCTTCCCCAGGTCTCTCTCTGCTCACGGGCGGTGTGAGCCCCGAGGGCGCTCCCAACCAGCTCAGCTTGTATTTACTGCCTCGAGTTCTTTGGATGTCTATAGTCACGGGCTCCAGGAAGGAGGGTGTTTGCTATTCTGTGGTTTTCAGCCATCTGCGTTGGAATGCATTGTCTCCATTCCCTGCTTGCCCCCACTACGTTCTTGTCATCCATGAACTTCAGAGCAAAGACTGATTCGCCCTCTGCCTCTCTCGGGTTAGCCAGTCAGTCCCCGAGCCTCGGGTTAGCCAGTTAGTCACCGAGCCTCTTGTTCGGATGTCTGAGGGCTGCCTGGTTCCGTTTCCTCTCTCTCCCCAACTACCCAGTCCTGGTGCTAGCCCCAGAATCCTTCTGCTAGGCAGCTTCCAGGGTAAAACCATTATGTCTATACTACTGACCCAATATCTTCTCTGCTTTAGTTTCTTATTGTCTAAAGAGTAAAATGTACATTTTAGTCTGACATTCAAGGCCTTACACAGTCTGCCACTATTCTCAATGATCTGTACCTAACGTCCCTGAATTTTCCTTACTGTGCTCTGTGGGCATGTTGTCCAAACTATGAGGTCCCAGTTCTCTCTGCAGGGAATGCCTTCGCTCCACTCCATCTGTCACCTATGAAATGTCTATACTGCTGTGAGGACCCTACTCCATAGTAAGTCTTGGTTTGGGCCACTCTTTCAAGATTGTGTCCATCCTTGTATCCCTGTGTGTCCTCACACCCTGCACTCTGGCACAATGCTTGGGATACCAACATTGTGGTAGTCAGCTGGGTAGTGGTGGTGAATGTCTTTAATACCAGCGCTTGGGAGGCAGAGGCAGGTGGATATCTGTGAGTTTGAGGCCAGCCTGGTCTACAGAGTGAGTTCCAGGACAGACTCTAAAGCAACACAGAGAAACCCTATCTTGGGAATCAAAACAGACAAACAAACAAACAAAAAAAAAGTGTTAACTGGCTATTTTCAAGTCTCCTTGGTCTTTGATTAGTTCCCTTAACTAAACCTTCTGATGCTGAAGGTGAGGGAATACAACTTACCCTCTGGAGATGCAGTGAGAGGACCATCTGGTAGAGTCTGGCTGTGGCTCTTGATGGTCTGACAGGGGTGGCTGGGAGATGCAGCCCCAGGTTGGACAGAGCCCTGGTGTCCTGGTGTCCGCTGGGCTGGGGGAGACTGTGGTTCAGGGCACCCATTGATTAGCACAATGGGTATGTCTACCATAGAGTTGGTGACAGACGGGGGGCAGCTACTGGCCTGCTCCTTGGCTACTGGAGGACAGTGGGCTGCTTGGGGATGGCCCATGTTCGGCATGGGGTTGCTGGGAGACTGGCCATCAGTAGGTCTCACGTACTGGGACCCTCGGTCCAGGCTGTGGAGGCTGGAAGAGGAGCTGGCTGGACTTCCCAAGGATCTGGAAGATGACTGACAGCTGGAGAGGCTTGAGTGGCGGAGAGACTGACTGCTGCGGAAAAAAGCAGACAGGGCGGGCGTCAGGGTGTTGGGCAGTGATGCCCAACTTGGGGCCTGAGCTATGTTCTGCAATCTAGCCATCTGGGGGGGCTATCTTGGGTCAAAGAAAGTGTTACATATACCCTTAGCTCAAACCCAGAGCAAAGAGTATCCCCATCTGAATTCCTAGGGTGCAGTGGGGTACAGAACCTCCCTAGGACTATAAGATCTTTTGTCATTTTAACTAGCCAGTGGGATCCACCACCAGCAGTTAGGGCAGCCTGGATTTTCTCTGCTTTCCTAGCTAGGCTAGTCCGACTGAACAGAGGAACAGGCAGCAGGATCTCCACTACCTGTCACTCTCAAAAGCCCTGCAGAGAGGATGCTGCACCTGGGCTGGATGTGTCTGGGGCTGGTGCAGGGGAATGTTCTAGTAGGAGGAGGTTAACACCACTAGGCAGGTAAGCATGGTGGTGGGATCCTTGGCTCCTTCGCCAGGGACTGCTGTGGCCAGTGCCTTTGGAGTTCGCCTGTGGGACTGAGGTCTTGTGGTTTAATCACCCTGAAGCAGGATGGGCTGTTGTTGTACAATTCTACCGTGAGAATTAAGGTCAGTAACCTGGAGCCACTGGGAATAAAGCTTGGCCCGTCCTGCTAGGTTTTGTCAATGGCACGGGGAGGAGGGGGCTTTCATTTCAGGTCCCAAGTCTGTGTATACCCCTGAGATTAACTTATTAATTTTTAAAAATTATTTATGTGTGCTGTGTGTGTATGGCGCCTGTGGGTGTGAGAGGAGGGCACTGGATCTCACAGGACCAGGGTAAAAGATGGTTGTGAGTTGCCGTGTAGGTGCTGGGAACTGAACCTGGGTCCTGTGCCAGAGCAGGCAGTGCTCTAACCACTGAGCTATCTCTCCAGCTCCCACACCTGAATTTTAATAACCCTTCCTCCAGATGGGTCATGTGAGGGCTGGAAAATAAATGAGTCCCACTAACACAGTACTCTATTCTCAATGGAAATTAAGGTAGGGCCCCGGAGAGCACTTGGTTTACTAAAAACACCTCATTCTCCCCCTGTTCAATGGAAGCCATGAGTTTAGGACACTGAATGATGTTCCAAATGCTTTGAGGGAACTTGAGACAGAATTGGCTGTGAGGGTAGAAAAGACATATTCTTTTTTTTTTTTTCCTTTTCCTACACAGGGTTTCTCTGTATAACCCTGTCTGTCCTGGAATTAGTCTGTAGACAAGGCTGGCCTTGAACTCACAGAGATCCTCTTGCCTCTGCTTTCCCCAAGTTCTGGGATTAAAGGCGTACGCCACCATAGCCATGACACCTTGAATTCTTTTACTCTAGATGTCCATGCATTTTGCTCACATAACAGGTCACTCTTCTGTTGCGTGTGTGTGTGTGTGTGTGTGTGTGTGTCTGTCTGTCTGTCTGTCTGTCTGTCCACGTGTGTGCTGCCATGTATGCAAGGTCATGAACACAGAACTTACCTTCCAAACACATAGCTGACATCTGATGCAGGGCTGGCTGACAGCACAGAGACCCTGCTGCCCCGCTGTGGGGCCTTCAGCCCTTTCTCCCAACTGGGAGGAGTCGCCAGTGGGGAGCCTGAGGCTCTGCTTTCCCGGCAAGAGCTGGAGTTGCTAAGGGAAGATGTCGTGTGGGGAGAGGGGCTCCGGCCCTGGTTCCCAGAGAAGATGAGGCTCTCGCTGCTGCTTCGAGTCTCTCGGGGCATGTCTCTGGAGAACAGGAGGCTGCCATTACGTGGGGAGCCAAACAGTGGAGTGACACTTGGGCTGGAACAGCGTTGGGGACCATCGAGGCACCTTGATCTGGTGGAGGTCACTTCAATGTACTTTATATCTTTGGGGGAAGGAGGGAGAAAGCATTGGTTAGAAGTCGGGAGCCACAGCGGACTGATGGCTGGCAAAGGAGGTAGAAATTCAGGGCGCACAGCTGTCCGCCTTCTAGACAGTCATGAATCTTTTCCAAGGTTTCCCAGTATGGAAATTAGGGTAGGGCCCCGGAGAGCACTTGGTTTACTAAAAACACCTCATTCTCCCCCTGTTCAAAACTGTGGAGCCCAGTCCGCCCTGGGTACTCATGGTTCCTTTCCCTGAGCCTGTGGTGCCTCAGCTCGGGGTCCTGGGTGGAAGGGGGCACTGTATCAGACACACAGGCTGGCGGGCTGACTCAGGCTGGCCGCTTCAGGGGATGTAGAACAGTCTGACTTTGCAGTCACAGGAACGGGTGTGAATCTTGACGTCATCACTTTCTAGCCAGGAGGCACTGAGAACATTCCAGACCTCTCCTGGCCTCAGTTTCCTTATCTCCAAAGCCAGTAATCTAGATCCAGCCTTCTATGGCGGTGCTGAGGAGCAAACACAGGAAGAGTCGAGCCTGGTTCGTGGCAGGCCACCTCAAGGAGGGGACATTCTCTGCCTGCTGCTGCTGGTGATCCAAGGGAGCCCCTCACCAGCTGAAATGAGTACCTTGGCTTAAGAGAAAGGAGTAACAGGTGATTTGGGGAACTACACTGTAGGCTTTGAGATAGATCTGAGAGTGAGATAGATTTTTTCCAGGAGGCTGGCAAGTTTCCTTCCTTCACTTTAAAAAAGTAAAACAAACAAACAAAAACAAAAACATTGTCAGGTGGTGATGGTGCATGCTTTTAATCCCAGCACTTGAGAGGCAGAGGCAAGCAGATCTCCTTCGAGGCCAGCCTGGTCTACAAAGTGAGTTCCAGGATAGCCAAGGCTGTTATATAGAGAAACTCTGTCTTGAAAAACAAAACAAAATCTTTTGAGATACAATCTAGCCCCAAACTCCTTATGTAGCCCAGGATAGCCTTGAACTTCTGATTCGGATAATCCTGTCTGCTTCTTCAGTGCTGGGGTCACAGGAAGGAGCCGCCACATCTAGTTTTATGTGGCACCTGGAGTACTGGGGATGGAACCCAGGGCTTTATGAATGCTGGGCAAGCCCTTTGACTGAGCGGCATTCCCAGCCCCAACTTCTGTTGTTGTTTGTTTGTTTTTAGAGACAGGATTTCTCTGTGTAACAGCCCTAGCTGTCCTGGACCGCACTTTGTAGACCAGGCTGTCTTCAAACTCACAGAGATCCACCTACCTCTGCCTACCCGAGCGCTGAGTCTAAAGGCACGCTCCACCATAGCCTGGCTCCCAACTTCTATTTTTATAAAGACTTTATACTGTTTATGCTCATAACCACCTGACTCTCACACTGGCCCTTGGGCAGGTCAGACATTGTTTTAACACAGGGGATTACTGGTGATCGGAGATTAAGCGGGAGTAAAGTTGAGACTTCTTGCATAACTTTTACCAAAGACAGGCAACATAGCTGTCCTGTTATAGCTGCTCTATTGAAACACTGTCGATCCCCATGGAACCAGTGAGAACTCTAACCTTAGCTAGGCTAAGAGAGTTGTTCAACACAACCAAAGGAGTGGAGGGCTTCAATTGCTGCCCTTGAGCTGTGTGAGCAGCCTCTTCTAGGGCAAAGAGGAACTCTGTGGGCTCCCATTCCAAGGCTTTCCTGGTATTTGTCTGCCCTGGTGTGGGTCTCTTGACTTGGTGAGGCGCCTAGCCCCCAACTTCATGGGTCATAAAAATATCTAAGACCTTGCCTGGGAGCTGAGCAGGGTGGGAGGGGCCTGTGCTGTGAGTCACTCCCCCACTCCTTGTCCTGAGGTGGTTATGGCTGGGGAGGTGGAGGCTCCCACCCGATCCCTGGGGTGCAGCCGCTGTTTACAGGCCTGTGGGGCAAGTCCCGGCAATGTAGGGTGGATGCAGGCGCCAGCCGCAGGCCTGGCCGGTGAAGGGAGGGCATGTGGGTGGGGGGAGGAGAGACAGTTATTAAACAGCCTGCCCTTGGGACTGGCAAACAGCCTTGCCTGGCAGAAACTGCTGGAAAATGAAATGTGGGGATCTGATCCAAGGATGGGGTGGGAGGTCGTAGAGAGGATAAGGGAGATGGTGTTTGGGTCTGGGAGCCGGGATCCCTCTGGGATGGCGACTCTGAAGGACACGGGTAAAGAAAGATGAACAGGAGGCAAGGCAGGGGGTGCTGCCAAAGAGCTGCGGGTGGGGGCCTGAGTTTCAGAGGAGAAGCTTCCTGTAGGCGTCCTTTAAACAAACTCCAGTTCAGGGAGAGAGACAGGAACAAGGGTTTAAGGGTTAGAAATAGCCTGGTCTGTCACTTGGTAGGGGGTGACTGAAGACCATGGCTTCCTTCTTCAACCTCAGTTAACATATCTGTAAAATGAGATCACTATGATTTCCTTCGTGGACAGATGCAAGGACTATGCGTCACAGGGGCTAACCTCCACCAAAAATCCATGCAGCTGTGTCTAGGGAGCCACCAGAGGATGGCCACGGGAAGAGGCACGGTGAGCCTCTGCTGCTTCCTGATGACAGGGTCCCTCAGGGGAGGGTGGGGGGATGGCACCAGGCTGTGTGGGGGGAGAAGGAGGTAGAGTCCACACTGAGGATGTGAAGATATAAGGGATCTTGCCCAGAACTATCCAGTGTCCTGGCCTATGGGTGTCTTCTCACCAACAACAGTGGCCCACAGGAGGGTTTGGGGGGGCTGGGATGGGCATAGCAGGCTTGAGGTGCAGCATCTGCCACTCTGTGTGGGAAAAGTCCTCTGAGAGGATGCTGACTTAGTCCCGCTGTCTTTCTGAGATTCGAGAAACATGTGAGCAGTGGTTGGAGGGGAGGATTGTTTGCATCCTACCAGAAGGACTCTAGAGACTGAGGTAGGAGGCTCCCTGGTTGCTGGTTAGCCTGGACTGCAGAGCAAGACTTCTTTCAAAAAAAAAAAAAAAAAAAGGAGGAGGCGGCAGCGGCATGGCAGAGGGCAGCCAGGACCTTCTGGCCACTGCCGGCCTTTCTGCACTCCTTGTTCCCCAGAGTTGGATGGACCCAGGCTTCTAGTGGTAGGTTGTACCCAGAAAATCTGAGGATGGGGACCGCTGCTCCATCAGCTATCTGCTCTTCACCAGCCCTTCAGCAGCAGAAGGGGCTGGCTGTGTTCTACCCCACACCCCACGCTGTGCATGTGGACTCCTAATACTGATCTTGCCCCAACTGGCCTTGGCTGGGTGGAATCCCTGCCTTGGGGCATGAACATTAAAACCCTGGGCTGATTCCTGCCAACAGTAATTAGGTCTAAAGCGCTTCCCCGCAGTGATGTGCCCATGACTGGCCTTGCACAGCTTCTGGAAGAGACAACTCCTTTAATAGGCTTGGCAGGAAGAGGGGAAGTGGTGTGAGGCCAGGATCCCCTGGTGGGTGCCAGAGGGCTTGGGTGCTATGTTGGCTTCTATATCAGAGTTGAAACTGACCTGGGGCTGCCTATACAAGCAATCCCCCCCTCTGCCATGACTCAGGGCACCAAGATTTGTGACAAACAGGCAACAAATCCTTTCTCTTAATCTCCACCGTACTCCTTGAGGTAAGAACTCTTATTTTGTCCAGTTGAGAAACCAACAATAGAGAGGTGATGTCAATAGCTTGTGTAAGGTAAGGCCTGTCTGAACCCAGGGGTTAGACTAAACAGGTTCTTATTCAAGTCCATGTTAACTTAATTTTTCATCTGTAAAGAGGAATCAAGTTCTCATCTCAGTGGTGTAGGACAGGATGATCCCATGCAAGGCTGCCTGGCGGTTGGCACCTGTTATCCTAGCACTGGGGAGGAGGAGGCAGGAGGATGAGGAATTCAAGGTTATCTTGGGCTAATTGGCAGGACTGAGGCCAGCCTGGGCTACATGAGATCCCGTGGAAGATGCTCAGCACAGGGCCTGGCATGCAGTCAATGCTCAGTGAGTGGGTGTTATCCTGGATTCTGTGTGCACTTCTCTATTCCTGCTATCTGACCCCTGGTGGCCCGATGGATGGGTCCGCTGCCCCCTCTTCCTCAGAACACACTTGAGATTTTTCAAGTGTGGGGAACCGAATCGGCACCCACTGCTTTCCAGATTCCCCTGGCTGTGTGTGCTGGTGTCGGCTTGTACCAGCTTGTTACGAGCCAAAGACTGCAGATTTCAGATGTTGTCTAGCTGGCTGACGAACTCGGCCATTACTAACAACCTCATTCTGCAAACTGATAGTGAAATAACTTACATTCAAAGCAAAAGCTGACCAGTTGCAGGGTTCAGGAGGGGGGTGGAGTGGTAGGGACTAGTCTGGGCTACTCAGAGACACTGTCTCCAAAAACTTAAGTAAACAAAAACAACAACAACAAAAAAACTCCAAACATATATGGAAGGTCAAACACCCAAACCCCACACCTTCCCATTATTTCACCATTATGCATGCTGTGAGACTTATGGCTACTGTATTGATACTGTAAGGTTTTTTTTCTTTTATGTTGAGAGCAGCTTATGTTATCACTGAGTTGCATTCCCAGCTCTCCTCCCAGGTTAAAAACTTTTTTCTTCCCATTTTGGAGACAGGGCCTTGCTATGTAGTGCAGGCTAGCCTAGAACTCAAGATCCTCCCCAGCGCTGAGTTTCCAGGTGTGTGCCTGGAATGTACACTGATATGTGGTGCTGGTCTACAAAAGCAGGGGACTGCTTCACTTCCAGTTGTACCTTGGTGGCGTCCTGTCAGCAGTCAGAACTGGGAGAATTTACACTATGGAAATGGGCAGATGCTGCATCAGAGCTTGTGCCTCCCAAACAGGGAGCCAGCACCCCACTTCTCCTGTTCTGCGTCTCTCTCATCCCACATTTCCAGCTTGGGCCTTTCTCAAGAGATGTTCCCCTAAACAGGGGTTGAGGCAACCTAGAAATCCTGCAATAATTTCAGGGGACCAAACTTAGGCTATAAAGAGAAACATCAAGAGCTTAAGGAAGGCTCAGGGACTCTGTGCCCTTACAATGTGCACATTACCATGGAAACCACTTACACAGACTAGCACATCTAAGTTCTCATCAAAACCACATGAAAGCCGGGCGTTGGTGGCGCACGCCTTTAATCCCAGCACTTGGGAGGCAGAGGCAGGCGAATCTCTGTGAGTTCGAGGCCAGCCTGGTCTACAAGAGCTAGTTCCAGGACAGCCTCCAAAGCCACAGAGAAACCCTGTCTCGAAAAAACCAAAAAAAAAAAAAAAAAACCACATGAAACCGAAGTCTACCAGTTTCCAAACTCAGGGACCAGACAGAGTTGGGTAGTGAGGAAAATCTGTATTTATACCTTTTGTGCAGCAGAGAAATCAGAAAGGTCAGAAGTTTGTTTAGGGGTGCATAGTACTCCCCACAGGACAAGGACCTCTGTCTCCCAGCTCCCCTCTTGGCTGTGCCCCAAATCCTTACCTAAGGCTTCAGGTTCCTCCTTCTTGCTCCTTGAGGCGACGTCACTGGCATGCTCAGCCTGGGGACCAGCAGTCGCAGAGGGAAGCAACTGGAAGGTGGGGTCTAGTTCCAGGATCATCTGGTTGAGGGTCTCTAGCGAGAAGTCAATGCAGGAGTCCATGTCTTGGGAGGTCCCTGAGGCCTGCTCCCCAGGGTGCTGCAGGAGGCACTGAGCTTTGGCTTCTGCTTGCTGGGCCTGCTGGAACCTGCTGGAGGTGCCTTTGCAGGGTGTGGGGGCCATCAGAGGCTGGGCTCCCCAGCTTTCTGTGGTGTAGTAAGGACACAGTGCTGGGAGGCCAGGGCCGGAGCTCGGGTGCAGGGCCATCCTGGATTCCTCATGGGTAGTCAAGCTGACCATGTGACCTCCAGCCAGCAGGGAGCTGGACATGACGGAGCAGTGAGTCCAGTGGTTTCCCTCTGGCTTCTCACTTCTGCCCCAGAGCTATAACCTGCTCACGAGAGCTCCAAGGACCTGAAAGAGGAGGGTGGGATCTGAGTGATCTCTGTAGGTGAAGCCCCTGCCTGTGTCCTTGGTGAAGGACATAACATCTTATTCAGCTAAAAGTCCCATTGGCTTCCTGGCCTTGGCACTCACTAACTGTATAAGTCTGGACAAAGGAATTAATTTTTCCCCTGTCTTAGTTTCCTCATTTGAAAAATGAGCTAACCTTAATCATATGCTTAGGATAATGCCTGGTATATCTAAGCCTATGCAAGTGATGGTTAAGGTGACTTAAAGGGATGATTGCTAATCACTTACTATGTCATGTGCATCTTACTAAATGAGTGTTAGCTGTTTATGAGGAACTACTAGGTGCAGAGGCTCTGAGAGTTATGCATGAAGCCCTTTGAGTTGTAACAACTTGATGAGGTAGGTACCACTATTAACCCATTTTTCAATGCAGAGAACAGAGAGATGCAGGGGCCTGGCTCAATCGTCACATAGGCAACCTATGTCAGAGCAGGACTGGACTTCAGGCTGCCTGCTATCTGACCTCCTGTACTTGGGTTAGCTGTGACATGGATAAGCAGGCAGGCCAGCAGCTGAGGGAGATCCTGTGGCACTGCTGGGAAAGCCAGGGAGGACTTGCGTGGAGAAGGAAGGGGACATGTAAAAGCAGAAGAGAAGGATCTAGATGGGCATGGTAAGTAAGAATGCGGAGGCGTAGTAGTGTTCGAAGCAGCGGATGGCAAGTGCAAAGACCCAGTGGCCAGATAAGGGAGGTCAAAGGTATCCAGGAAACGGAGGCGTTTGGGATGGAGGGCTAGCTGGGCTCTGCTAAGACTCACAGGCTCAGCTCAGAGCTGACAATTCAAACCCTGGAGGTAAGAGAGAGCCACAACAGTGTTTTGTTGTTGTTGTTTGGATTTTTTTTTTGAACTGGGTAGTGATCCGATCAGATGATGGTCACCCCCCACAGGGGGGAGAGGTGTCTCATCCAGAAACAGAAATGCCCTAAATTTCTATCTCCTTTACTGTGAAAGTTCTTCCCATTGTCTAACCTTGATGCTACATAGTTGTTTCTCATGGATTGGTGTGGAGGAGGAGGTAAAAGGTCCAGGGACAGACTAGTGAGAAAACAGGGTGGGACTGAGACACAGTGACCTTAGTCCTTCTGATGGCCTTGAGCCTTGCCACCTGCCTCCTGTGTCAGAGCGTGAAACCACAAGATGCTGCACGAGAAACCACTGGACGACCTGGCGCTGACTTAGAAATCGGGGCTTATGGATCATGGCACCCTTCTGAAGGGTTCCCAGCTACAGAGCACCATCAGGTACCAGGCACTGGTCAACACGCCGTGTACAGCTGCATCTGGTAATTTAGCTTCTTACAACCATAGCCTCTGTCCTCAATGCATTTTGCCTCTAAAGATACCTAGACTCACAAAAGTCAAGAAAACTCTAGGAGCTGGGCGGTGGTGGCGCATGCCTTTAATCCCAGCACTGGGGAGGCAGAGGCAGGTGGATCTCTGTGAGTTAGAGACCAGCCTGGTCTACAAAAGCTAGTTCTAGGACAGCCTCCAAAGCCACAGAGAAACCCTGTCTCAAACAAACAAGAAAAAAAGAAAGAAAGAAAACTCTAGGGACTGGGTGTGGTGCACACACCTGTAATCCCAGCACTAGAGAGTTTGAGGCAGGAGGATCAGGAGCTACACAGAGAGTTCGAAACCAGCTGGAGATCTATGAGACCCTGTCTCAATCCCCCACCTCCCAACCAACCAACCAATCAACAAACCAACCAACCAACAAAACCCCAAAAGGAACCAACAGGAGGTTCATATCTGGGATTCAGATCTAGGCCTTGGACCTTTGTAATCCTAACTCCTTCAGCCACATGGAGTTCAAAGGCAGAGGGGACCCAGAGAGGGGACATGAAATGCTGAAGGACAAAACACCAGGCCTGTCTGCACCCCCATCCCACCTTACCCTGGTGCCTATGGCTTTATTATCAGACTTCTTGGGTCCTGGGGTGGGGATACAAGCTGATGTTGGGAAGCCTATCTGTAAATGGCAGTGGAAGGGAGCTGGCCTGAGCTCCTTCCTTGGGGGCAGCTGAGGACACAGAGCCCAGACACAGCTTTTCCCACATAGTCTCCAAGAGTGCAGGGAGTCAGGCACAGCTTGCAGGGTTCTCTGCCAGGCCTGCAGAGGAAGCCGGGGATGCTGGGCAGAGTGACTGGAAGCTGAGTTATCCCCCATGACCAGGACTCAGGGTTGCCCACATGCTTATCCAGAGGCTGTCTTAGTGCTCCTGTAGACAGGCTCTTTCCTCTCTGGACAGACCTCAGTGGTTTTATCTATCTGAGGTGACCTGATAATTACAGACACTTGGCACTCATTCTATTTCCCAACAGTTCTGACAAGGCTGAGGGACTTGCCTGGGCTACATGATCACCCTATCACCCTGTGCTCTTCTGTCACAGGTGTAAGATCTCTCCTACCTCTGCCCCTTTCAGAACACTAGAATCAACTGTTACTGAGCATCATGGAGACACTGAGGACAGGAAGTCCTTCTGCAGGGTCTCAGCCTTCCCAAGTCACTCCTAGCCCCAGACACAGCTCTGTCTGCTCCTCTGGGATGTTACTATACACTCAAGGCCCTGCCAGTGCACATTTCTAGCTGGCTCCTTTCTGCTCTAAGTCTTGGGAAGAAGTGAGTGTCTGGGCTCAGTGTGTGTGTGTGTGTGTGTGTGTGTGTGTGTGTGTATCAGGAAGGGTTCCAGTTAGCTATGCCCTATTTACAGCTGCTTCCTACCTTCTCCTCTCTTCAGATTCTAACTCTTGTTTCTTTCTCTCCCCTTCCCAGAACTCTGGAGGCAGGGAACTCCTGGGACACTGGGAAAGCTTTATGGTCATTTTTTTGCTTAACTCTTTTTAACCTATCTTCTCCCTTGTACAAGCCCAGGTAGGGAAAGCAGAGGATGAAATCCCAGTCTCCCCAAAGCATAACCCCAGGGTCCCCATCATTTGATCCCACCTCTTCATTGTCCCTTGCCTCCCCAAGATCCAGGAGGCAACACCTGGGGCAGCAAGCAGGACTTAAGGGACAGTGGACAACCTCCTAGTCCTGCCGGTCTCAAAACTTCCTGCTTGTCAAGATTCCTGGGTCTGTCCAGGTTCTTTCTAATCAGGTGTCCAAGACCCGGACCAGCTTCTCCCCTACACCCCGTGTTCAGCTTTAGATCTCTTTAAGTGCTAGGCTGGGTTCCCCCATCCCCACCCCCACCCCAGTGAGTAGAGGCACCTACCTGTTCCTGGCTCCTGCTGCACTCATTTAAGGCTCCCCGGATCAAACTGTGCTGAGCCCAGGTAAGTTGCGAGAGCTGGCGCCAGCAAACCTTAGGTCCCGCCTTAAGAAAAGCCCGCCCTCGGCCAGCCCTCCTTCCCTGGGGCCCTACACGTGGCCTTGACAGCGGCCGGCCCCGCCCCAGAGGTGTCCCAACCGCTCAGGTGGGGCAGTCCCAGGCTGGGAGGTGTGTGTGTGTGTGTGTGTGTGTGTGTGTGTGTGTGTGTGTGTGTGTGTGTGTGTGTGTGTGTTGGGGGGGGCGTTGAGTGGCGGGCTGACCTGGCAGGTACCGATTAGGGTGTGTGTGTGTGTGTGTGTGTTTGTGTGTGTGTGTGTAGGGGGCCCCAATTTCCCAGCTTGGCCCGTCCCAACACCACGTGATCAGGACGATCCCAGACCAAGGTGTGCTGCTGGCTTCCCTTTCACCCTGTGGCGGCAGGAGGAAACAGTGGGTTGGCAAAGGCAGTGAGAGGGAGAGCTTGAGTCAAAGATACAAGTGGAGACCCTTCCCCAGACCTACCCTGTGGATTTGGATGCCTCTGTGAGGCTCATGCGTTGCAGTTGTCTATTCGAACCTTCTGTCCTGTTCCAAGGCCACTTCTAGCCTGGGAATGAAGCTTCTGACGCCAGGGAGGAAGCTGGAAAGCTCTACCAAGGGCTTATTCCTCTGCTTCCCAGTGATTCACCCTCCTAAGAAGCTCTGCTAGGTGGAGCGCAGGAAGCCACCAGCTTCCTCCCCATGACTCCAGTTCCCTCCCTGCTGAGGGTCCTCAGGATGTTGTGAATGAGGGTCCAGCCAGGATGAGTGGCAGAGCCCCATCTGGACAAGTTTTCATGCTGGAGACACAGGGTGACAACAACAGGCTGATCTGGAGAATGGGCTGCCCAACATTCCTATTAAGCTCTGCAGTCTACTTCCTGGGTTGCTTTTTGATGCTTTGAGAGAAGCATCGGAAGGGGTCCTCAAGCATCCGTATGATCCTGCAGATGTCAGACTTGGTGAATACAGGTTTATCTTTGAAGAAACTAGGTGCAAGCCAAGGCAGTCTTGGTCTGTAGGCTTTAGCTTAGTGGGCAGGTGGGAGGGACAACTGCTGAGCTTCTCGGGTGGAAGGGCTGGGCTACACTGAGGAGAAATGGCCTGGGCTACACTGAGGAGAAATGGCCTGGGCTACACTGAGGAGAAATGGCCTGGGCTACACTGAGGAGAAATGGCCTGGGCTACACTGAGGAGAAATGGCCTGGGCTACACTGAGGAGAAATGGCCTGGGACTGTGGCTCAGTTGGTACAACGCTGGCCTAGTGTATAGGAAGCCCTGGATTTGATCTCTCTCTCTCTCTCTCTCTCTCTCTCTCTCTCTCTCTCTCTCTCTCTCTCTCTCTCTCTCTCTCTCTGTGTGTGTGTGTGTGTGTATACTTAGCCCTTTTGGTTCACATGCAACCACTTCTCTCAACTTAACTGACCTAAAACACGGATTTCAGTTTCCGATGCCACGCACACCCTTGCCCAGCCCCTTCTGCCCGTCCCTGCGTTTGACACAACCAGCATTCTGAAGGGGATGACATGTCTTTGTCTATGTGTTGGCAGAACTGTCTCCCCCACTCTGCTGCCCTGGTGGTCACGTTCTTCCTTCTGCATACCTGGGGTAAATCTCTTGCTGTGCTGCTTAATACTTTTTAGATTTGATGATATTTTGGTGAAGGATTTGGCACCTGTATTCATGAGGGCTGTTGTTCTGCCACTGTTTTATGGTTGTAATACCTTTGGCTTTGGCATTAGGGTAAGGCCGGACTAGATGGAGTCAGGAAGGACCCCTCTTGCGGCTGTCTTCTGAAAGTGAGTGCGGAGAACTGATGTGATTTCATTCTTAACTATTTTGGACCCTTCCTAATTCAGCAAACTATCCTGGTGCTTCCTGCATTAGGAGATAATTATAGTTTCCTCATCCTGATCCCTGGATTCCATATCTGTAGAATCAACCAACTGAAGATTGGACAAAATTGTATCTGGAAAGGCTTTTTGCCATTATTTCCTATTTAAAATTTTACATTGTATTGGATATAAATAATCGACAAATGAGTTAAATATGTGAGAAGACATGTATAGGTCCTACACATATATATCATTTATATAAGGGACTTGAACAATTACCAGAGGGACTGACAGACAGGGTGGTATTTCTTTAATACACATACACAGCTCTTTTTCTTTTTTTTTTCTCTCCCCCTCCTCTTTCTTTCTTTAACAGAGTCTCACTACATTGGCCAGGTTGGACCGAAACCCACAACCTCCTGCCTCAGTTTCCAGAGAGCTGGGATTATAAGCACGAGTCAACATATTCTGCTTCATGGCATTTCTTTTTCAACCTCACACACATTATTTCTCTGGCTCATGTTCTGCATTTATCCTTCTAAGAGAAGGGATTCCCGTGAGTGGAATGTTTAAAGATACACTTAAAAAAATAAAAAAAAACTTTGCTCTTCTTGATGTTTCCTGCACTTTCCTCATAAAGAAGGGGGGGGGAACTGATCAAATACACAAGCGAAAGTTGTATTTCTGGTAGGTTTTTTTGTTGTTGTTTTGTTTTGTTTTGTTTTGTTTTTTTGTCTTGTAGGAACTCCATTTTGTGGGCAGGTATGTGTTTGTGTCCTAGTTAGCAACTGTCAACTTGACCCAGCCTAGAATCACGTGATGAAAACAAGTCTCAACTGAGCAGTGTCTTTATCAGGTTGGCTCATGAACAAGTCTATGAAATGCTGTCTTAATTGATGTAGGAAGGCCCAGCCCACTGTGGGTGGTGTCTTCTTGGGCAGGTGGTCCTGAGTAACTTGGAAGGAAACGAACTAAGCACAGCCTGTGAGGAAGCCAGAGAGCAGCCGGCCAGCAGCTTCCCTGGTGCCCTCTGACTTCCCTTCTGACAGAGTAAGAGGAAACAAATCTTTTCCTCCCCTAAGCGGCTTTTGGTCAGAGTACTTTACTGCAGGGACAGAAAGCAAACGTGTGTGTGTGTGTGTGTGTGTGTGTGTGTGTGTGTGTAGGCAAGAGGTCAACTTCAGGGACTTATCATCAAGAGCCATCTACCTTTGGGATTCTAAGGTCATGCCTCTGCACCTTGTTTTTTATGTGGGTGCCACAGGCTGAACTCGGGTCCTCAAGTTTTCATGACAAGCATTCCACTGACCAAGCTACGTCCCTGTTCTCAGAGAACGCCATCATTTATTCATTTAAATGCATCCACTGAGCATTTGCATCCAGGCACAGGATACAGCAATGAAGGGACGAGGCTGCCGACTTGAAGCAGCTCGCTGGTGATGAGACAGAAAGCTTCCGGCCTAGATTCTAGGTTCTGGTCTCCTAAAGATGGGAGCCCCACTCTCCTACCTGGCAGCCATCAGTCAGGAGCAGCTTTTGGGTTAGTCCACACTGAGACTTGCTTTGGGGTAAAATGTAATTCAGGTGTTAATGGCTTAGCATGAAGGATGTAAGCTGTTATTCGGAATTAAAATTTTATGTCTGCTGTGTGATGTGGAATGGGGCTTTGGGCCACCTATGCATGTGGAGGCCAGAAGGGAATTTGTGGGGGTCAGTTCTCTCTTTTCACGAATGAGAGCTGAGGATCAGTCTCAGGGCATAGGGCTGGGCCTTTTCCCCTCTGCTGAGCCATCTCACGAACCTCTTACTCATCATGTTTTATCTCGATGCTGTGTTGAAATGGCGATGCTTTGAGGCTCTTGGGTTAAATAAAATAGATGATTAAAATTAATTTCATCTGTATCAAATTACCACAAAACCAATGACTTTAAACAACCAAAGTACATTGTCTCACAGTCATGAGCCCCAAATCTGGCCAGAGCATGTTCTTTTGGAGGCTAGGGAGAAGAATCCGCTCCCTGACTCTTGCAGCTTTTGGGAGCCGCCCTGGAGACCTTGAATTTGTGACTGCATCCCTTCTGTCTCCTCTTGTGACAGCCTTAACCCCTTTCTGTCCACCTTGTGCAAGGCCACTCGAGATGGCTTCTATGGAATCACCCCGATAATCCAGGGTTACTCTTCTCATCCTGAAATCCTTAATTACATTCACTAAGGTCCTTCTCCATCTCCCACGAATTAATTGCTGTTTAAAGGCTCTAGAGGGTAGGACCTGATAAACTCAATATCTTTGGGTGCTTTCTATTCAGCCGACCCTATGTGTGGCTTGCATTATCTTTTTATGAAGCAGCTTCAGCCCATAGTAACCCAAGAAGCTCAGGAAAAGTGTCATAGGTTCAAAAGGGCAGATGGCTTGTTTTCTTTCTTTCTTTCTTTCTTTCTTTCTTTCTTTCTTTCTTTCTTTCTTTCTTTCTTTCTTTCTCTCTCTCTCTCTCTCTCTCTCTCTCTCTCTCTCTCTCTCTCTCTCTCTCTCTCCCTCCCTCCCTCTGCCCTCTCTTCCTTTTATTTTATTTTGTGCTGTTGTTGCTTTCAGTTTTTCAAGACAATGTTTCTCCATGTAGTCCTGGCTATCCTAGAACTCGCTCTGTAGACCAGGCTGGCCTTGGACTCACAACGATGTGCCTGTCTCTCTGCCTCCCAAGTACTGGGATTAAAGTGTGTGACACCACTGCCCAGCCTCAAACAGGGCAGATGGAATTGGGGGGCATGCCTAGGAACCCCTTAGAATGATTGCTGTAGCGGGAACATAGGTGAGCCTGGCAAAACTTCTGAGAGAAGAATCTGGGGAGACTGTGTGCATCATGTGGCTTCCACCTAACCTCCTCGTGAGCCCTTCTGAGCTACAGAGCATGTGAGCTGGACACTGCATTTCTCAGACTCCTTTGCTGCTAGGATCCTGCTAATGCAGTCAGTATGTCCACTATTCAGCCGTGGGGTTAAGGACCTGGCCCAGGAAGCATCTTACTTCTGCCTTGCAGCTTGCTGCTGTTGACCAGCATGGAGTGGACACTGGGACTTCCCACAGCTGTCATCTGGTATCCAGCCGCCAGTTTGGTGGCTGAGAAGTTGTTGAATTGGCTTTTTGATCCCCTGATCAGTTATGAACAAGGTTCTGGAAGTCACTGGTCCCTGAGTGGCTCCTCATTTT